AGAAAACAAGAAAGGTAACATTTTCAAAGCAAATGCATTATAAATGATTGTGTACCTTCGCAAATGGTCTGCTCTGTTAATTCTTACTCAAACACATTCACATCTATGGTGATAGGAGTCTAAATCCCTCCTACTATAAAATTGCAACATTATGTAACCCAACACCAGTTACCATGGTGACAGCCAGTCTGGTTCAGGTCATTGACCACGTCAGTGTTTGGAACAGAACAAGAAGAAACAGAGCAAAAACAATATGTTTTCCTTTGGTGAGGAAAGTCGTGTTAAGTGCCTTCCCCAAGGGCACAAGATTGGTGGCATCGGGCAGGATTCAAACCCAGGACCTCTTGAATCTGAGACGAACACTCTACCATTATGCCACACATGTACAACCCCACACTTTAGAGTCTAAGTCAACAACTCTGCATTATTTATATTCATAAAGGCGGAGCAAAAGACGACCCCAGTAATTACAGAGGAGTCTCCGTAACAAGCTGTCTCGGAAAATTGTTTACATCTATTCTCAATACCCGCCTAACCAAATTTCTTGATGAAAATCAACTTATTTCCCCAAATCAGGCCGGTTTTAGACAAAATTTTAGTACATGCGATAACATATTTATCATAGATACTCTTCTAAGTAAATATTTCGCAGGAAATAAACGCCTATATTCCTGCTTTATTGATTTTAAAAAGGCTTTTGACTGTGTTTGGAGAGAGGGCCTCCTTTATAAACTGCTAAATTCAGGAGTAGGGAGAAATTTTTATAAACTTGTAAAATGTATGTATTCAGAACCACAGACCTGTGTCAAAACCTCCTCAGGCTTAACTCCGCATTTTGTAACAAAGAAAGGCGTTAGACAGGGCTGTAACCTAAGCCCTACTTTATTTAATCTGTTCATCAATGACCTTGTAAATGTGCTCGATAATGATGATTGTTCTCCACCCTCACTGCAAAATCTATTCGTGTCATGTCTGTTGTATGCAGATGATATTGTTATATTTTCTGAAACCGACAAAGGATTACAATGCGCTCTCAATAAGCTAGATGACTTTTGCAAGAAGTGGAGACTTCAAGTCAACCTAAAGAAAACGAAAGTTATGATATTTACAAATCCGGTCGGTCATTCCCTAAACAAACATTCTCTTTTGGAAAAGACATGATAGACATAGTCTCTTCCTACTGTTATCTAGGTCTGACCATAACAGCATCAGGCAGCTTCTCCCTGGCTAAAAAACAACTGTCATTTAAGGCACGTAAAGCCATGTACAGCTTAAAATCTCTTACCCGTTCCTCTGTCTCCCCAAAGTGTCTACTGAGAATATTTGATACTTGTATTAAGCCAATTCTTCTGTACGGATGCGAAATTTGGGGCACAGAAGCCATAAATGACAATTCACCAGTTGAAACTACTCACCTGCGTTACTGTAAGAACATATTAGGGGTTTTTAGAAATAGTAGTAATTTAGCATCTAGAGCTGAATTGGGCAGACTGCCATTAGATATAGATATTTCACTGCGTGTTATAAAATATTGGCTCCGACTTGTACAAATGGATTGTAATAGGCATCCGCTGCAAGCTGACGCTCTTCTGTTTCAACAAAATGCGCAATGTCAGAGAAGAACATTACTACAGCGTGTGAAAGAAATATTAGATTCTAGTGGCTATTCTTACTTATTCCATTCATGTAACACTTCTTGTGATATCAAATCTATATGCACCATGTTAAGGTTAAGAATTTCTGATATGTATGTACAAACTATTTCCCATAAGTTAAATGTTGATTCTGGTAAGCTAAGGTTCTACAAAAAATGTAAAACAGCATATTCTATGGAAAATACCTGGATTTAATCGATTTTAACATTCGCTCTGCAATATGTAAATTACGAATTAGCGCACACCCTCTCGAAATTGAGAGAGGGCGGTATAAGAAGCTCCAAGTGTATGAACGAATTTGCAAATATTGTACGTTGAATACGGTGGAAGACGAAACGCATTTTATATCAAATTGTACCCTCTATAGCAATGAACGAAATGAACTCTTTGACTTAGTCTCCAGATCCTACCCAAACTTTCACGCATATACAAAAGAAAAGAAAACTACTCTCCTCTTAACATCCGAAAACCCACAAATTATAGAAAAAGTGGGATCCTTTGTCTTCCTCTGTCTTCAAAAAAGAAGTCAAACCCAGTAGTTTTTTCTACTAGTAGTCTCTTAATAGTTATCAGTAGTTATATGTGTACTTATTACCTGTTTTATACAAATGTTTCTTCTGTTCATGCAATTAGCCTTCGGGCATGAATTTGCAATAAAACTTAATATATATAATAGAACTGGAGGACCTCCTTGCCACCAATTACAGCTGTTCTGGTTTACAACTAGCAAACCTGAGTGCTTTGACATTTGCAAACCACTTGACATGACAGTATGCTATGTAAATGTCATAACTCCAAGTTGTTTGTTCTCTGCAAAGGGTAAATGGCATTCACTTTGGGCATGAGAGCCTTGGCAAATACATATCAGATGCATGTTGAAATTCAAGCCATAGCTTCATGCAGAATTGGTATTCTTAGTCTAGGCTGAGTATAATGTCTGATTGCACTCCTACAGAATGATACAGTAATTGCCGGGCATGCATGTTTCATTCAATTTGCTATGAAACAGATTTTCGTAAATCAGGAAAAAACATCACAGGCAAAACAGTTACCATACATTTGATTTCTTATCATTTTATGCCAAAAATTGCCTTTAAAGGCATCCAATGTAATTTCAGGGGAACAAAACAAAATATTCTGGATGAGGAAATCTGTCTGATATTGATACATTTTCGTCAGTATTTCGTACTTGCAGCATTTGAAAATTAAGCCCAAATATTACATGAGGCATTTTTTTTTCCTTTGGGGTGGTGTGGGGTGGGGGTACAATTACAAGTACATGTACACTGAGAGGCATGGGTAATACCTGTAGGAATCCCAGGTTGACAGAGAAGTGGTCCTGGCCATTCTGAGTGACCTGTAGCTCCGGCCCGTGTAGGTCTGCTGGAAAATGGACATGACCACCAGCATGCTGCTGACGATGTTTTTCCGAGGACGAATCTTCGTCCACCGGACTCAACTTCTCCGCCCCAAACCGCACCCCTCTTGCAGGCTTGTTAAAGTTATTTTGTTCAGCCGTACTACTAGATTCTTCTTCTTCTGAGAACTGTACTGCAGACTTGGGCATCTCTTGAGGATCTTTGGCTATTTCTTGGTCCGTGCCCACGCACATCACCCCTTCTTTAAGGAGGGGCGGCCCCTTGTCTCTGGCCAGGACTTGAGCGTACACTTGGAGGTGGACCGACTTCGTCCCACAGTCACCTGTGGTCAGTATGAGGTCCTCCTGTCATTGGACACAAAATGGCAAAGATTGGTTTTTAGTCTTTTTCACATGTAAAATATAATGATTAATATCTCAATGGTAAGTAGGACCTCTAACTGTTGTAGACTATGTTGTATAGGCAAAATTGTCTAAGATCTGACTCAAGGGACTTAGGAAAAGTGATCTTCCTATACAAAAAGCATGGCGACAAAACTGCAGCAAAATTTCCATCCTCACAAATTTTAGACTGCCCCATGATCTAATTAATAAAGATACCCAGTCAGTGCCATTTCACATTGTGCAAACACTGGAATGCTGTCGAAATCAATGGACAACTGGCTGATTCTGTTATGATTTCTCGCCAGTTCATATCATCAAAAAAACTTTTCTGCCACACGCTTGAAATTGATGTGGTTGTCATAGGCAGAGATTGGGCCATGTGTGGTCTAAAATTGAACTTGTTGCGGTCACTTTGGACAAGTGGTCATCTTAGGCAAGTCTTATTGTTTAGTATACGTCTAAGGGGAAATAATTGGGGCTGAGAAAAGCGTTCATTATGGCCTAAAGGCCAGCTTATAGAGGTGGTCGTTTGGCCAAGTTTGACAGTATACATGTACCTACCTTACAGATACCTTCTGTGACTGGATGGATCTCCAGACAGACTAAGTGACTGTTGGGTTCCTCCTCCTCCTGATCCTCCCCCCCTTCTCCCCCTGCCTGCGGCGTGACTTCCCGTATCGTCACGATGTCAGAGTTCTGCAGGGGCGGGGCGCACAGCTGCGGGCCAAACCCGTGCTGCAGCACAAACCGAGCGTCATACCTGCGGTGGACCTGTGGACAATGATATAGAAAACATTTAATGATGATTTAAGGGCTGCATCCTGGTACTTTGCACTGTCTGGTACATTGTACTATACCGCGAAAATCCATTACATGTTTGTAGGTACAGGTCCAAAATCCTTTTTCTGTATTAACCTGCTAAAAGTATTGTTGGACACTAGGAACAAGAAACAATCCAAATAGCTCTGTTGTGTTTTAATAAGACACAAGGCCGCATATTTCTGTCCTGTTTTGTTTAGAGGATTCCATCTGTTTCTAATGTTACTGATGAAGAAAATAACATAACTAAGACGGGGGCCGCCACTGACTTTCTACAACCTATGATCCACTGCTCACGGAGTCACGTGTGTTATCTGCGTGACGTTACGGAAGCGGTGGATTGTTCATTCCTTGATGAAGACTGGAGTTGTACAATCGAAAATTTGGGTGAGTCCAATTTCTTGTGTTGGAAATTACAGACTATAAACTTGCTGCATAATAACTTATAGAGTTACTGTAATGATTTGTCTGAATTGTTCAGGTACAGGTACAGGTTTGGACCTAAACATCTGCACCGGTATCTGTACCTGTACCTGATTTTACATATACAATAGTGTATATGCAGCCTAATGATGATACCAGGGAAGGGCTTTCTTCAGCGTTCAAACTTCAAGGTCCTTCGGATCTGTCAACATTTTTATCAGGTTGTCAACAGTGCCACAGACGTTTTGCAACATTACAACAAATCCATTTTAACCCCGACCTGTCAAATGCGTGAATTAGCATTGAAAAATGTCAGAATTTGAAAAAAGTCTCCCAAGGGAGCATGTCCAAGGTCACCCCAGATTCCTTGCTTGGCATCAAACAGCTGAGGGAGGGTAAAATATTTAGAGCAGGAGAAAGCCCTAGGCCACCAGTAATATAAAACATCTGCACACAGTATATACATATCAACAAAACAGTTATTATAAGACTGACAGGTTCTAGTTGAGGGACTCAAGCTGAGATCCATAATTGGGCACAGAGGGTGAACATGAAAAGCTCATTTATGATATGTGCTGGACACTCCAGACAAGTAACAGTAGTATATTACTTGGTGTACTGGTACAATACCGCGGAAGTTGATTAGGTTCAGATCCAAAATATTGAATAGCTATACAGGTAGACTGTATTGATATAAATCTACACTTCCTTTAAAGTGGCCTCATGTGACATGTAGAAATGACCAAAGTAGAAACAATGAACAAGGTACATAACTTAAGTCATGAGTATCAGTGTAAGAGTGTAAAAAAATGTCCTTACTCTAATACTAAAAGTTCTGTCCTGTTTTATTTGAGTAAAGGGCCTGCCAAGTTTATTACTGTTTCTATTCGTTATTGAGCACGTTAAGAAGAACATAATATACTATATTAATTTGTCAAATTGTTCATGTACAGGTCCAGCCATGTTCCTACATGACTGTAAACCCTTTTTGACAAAAAAAATGCAAATAGTGTCACCAGGTGGTACTTAGCAAGCTCACCTTGGCCCTTTTGGTAGCACCCCTGCCCTAGTTGTTCAATGTCCCTTGAACTGTGTTTACTCATGGGTTTTTCACAGTCCGTTGAGTGCTGACAATGCTCCCTTTTATGTCATTAAGAAACAATACTGTCCCACTAAACCAATCTTATTCAGTCATAATGCAAATAATACAGTCCTTAGCAATAGATTTTAAGTAACAATCTTCCACATCAACCTCTGCTTGGAGAGTAATGTAGTTACTAGTAAGATACTTGCTTCCAAGTTGTGGGGCACTCTGGGTCTGCTACAGTTGACTCGGGTAAATGGATCCATTCACCCGAGTCAATTAGCAGAGTCATTTTTAGCAGACCGCTTTGCTACAATTTATATTCCAAACCGGCCCTGATTTTTTGGTGACTCTGGCCTCCCAAACACTCTATAAGTAACCTGCCAGACCATGGCCAGGTCGCTAAACTCCTTAAAACAGTGCCGGGATTAACCCTGGCCCAGCAGCACCTCAGAGTGTATAACTCTATAGATTCCTCAACAGTCTGCCATGTTGAATCCATCCCAGCTCGAAACGATCCCGCAAACCAGACCTGAAATTGATTTTATGACAGTTTTTCTCAAGGTATCAAGCTAACCAGCAGGCTTGACCGTTGGCCTCCTGATCATAAGTCGCCTTTAGGTACAGTTCCTGTCACTTGTTAATGTCCATAAATGATTGATTGATTGATTGATCGGTCTTCAGAGATGTGGAATTTACCACTAGTAGAGGTCAATTCCAGGACTATATACTAGTAATTTATTCAGTGTTAGAAATACCGTCCTACATTTCGCAGATACATTTTCAATACTGCAGAAGAAAAATTAAGCAACCTGCAATTTTGCAGACAGAAAAAATAGCTATGGGCTAAGGGAGTTTTTGTGTTTACTTCTGACAGATGCTGTAATATACAACTTATATTACAAGTTTGCATGTATTTTTCAAATTGTAAAATATTTGCCAACATGCAATTTTGTATATATACAAGGGGGTAAAAACTCCATGATATATGCCATGGGTTTAGATCTGGACTTTTAAGTGTGAAAGTATTTCCGAATTGCATATAACAAAATTTTGACATTCTGTAATATTGAAATTGATGAAACAGGTTTTGTACTTGAGCTCCCATTTGGCTAAGAAAGAAGACTTAAAATGGATGATAAGCTGGCCTATCAGCCAATCAGTGAACAGCATTTTCAATTCCTGACATGTTTGTGCTAATGCACTTAACATTGGGATCAACATGGATTTTTTTCTTTGGTAATTGGCAGAGGCTGGCACATCAAACATAACAGTTTGCCCTTGAGCTGCCGCTTAGGTGAGCACAAGTGTTAGTGCAAATTTAGATTGGAAAATGAGCTTGCCTATCAGTCAGTCAGCAGTTTGAGATAGGGAAAGAATTCCTATAGCTACAAATGGGAATACTTATCTGTAGCATTCTACAAGGCATATCATACTTCACTGTGGCAAATGTTACATGTTCTAAAGCTTCGTGGTGTTCATGGTTCTGTTGCTTATACATTACTTTACAGGAGAAAAAAACTACCTGAAACAGAAATGATGTTGCACTAGTTTTATATAGTTGAACAGGCGTACTTCAGCTGCCATGATGGCACTTCAAGTTCAACAGAATTCCATTTAACTCCGACATAGTACGTACGTGGGTCGATTTAATAGATTAGTCTGGCTAAAACACCCTGACTTCATCTGCACCAAGATACACGTATGGCCTTTAATAGAAACAAATTCTGTTCCTATGTATACTAGTAGTATTCTCAATTGACCACAGCAAATAGAGCCTGAGAGATGTGATTTAAACTGAAATCATTGTTAAATTGAAAATCATTGTTTACAAACTAATATCGTAATAAGCATTTTACCCTTTGTGAATTTTATAAGGATAATGTTTGAATTTTTCAAACAAGATCATCAGGCTATTAAACTGATTGATCATTGCCCATTGGGGTTACCAGTGTGTACATCTTTAATGTAAACAATGTAATGGCACTGCGCAATAGGTGGCATAA